AAAAAAAAAAAAAAAAAAAAAAAAAAAAGATGCTAAACAAATGAAAACTTTTTTTTTTCTTTCTTTCTCCTCTCTTCTTTCAATTCGCTTCTTAATTCTGTTAAAATTGATTTTTTGTGCAAAAAATACTTCAACAACATTTAATTAGATTTCATTATTGTTTTTTTCTTCTTTTTTTGGCACTCAGAACAATCGAACACTTCAGAATTTTCTGTCGTATCCTCTCGGAGACCATCACGCGGCAGTATAACCGAAATTAAATCATCGAGCGACAACGATGAACAGCGACCAGTTCGACGATTTCATCGTATTGCTTCTAAAGTATAGTAGTTGCTATCAATTGAAAAAGTTAGTTAACAACTGCAAAAAGCCTCATTTGGTTTAAAATTTTTCTTGTTTTAGAAAAGCTACATGAACATACTTAAAGACTATCAAATTATTGCTTAGACTACACTTTAATTTTATTTTAGTGATCAATTAGCACTTTGAAACGAGCTGAAAAATCTATAAATTAATTAGCTAAAACATTAAGCAAATTATCCTTACTTTTTTTTGCTGTCATTTACTGTCCTACAATTAATTTCTTGGTCTAATAAAATCAGATAAATTAGTGATACATTCTCTTTTTTTTTCTTTGCTTTTACTTAGGCAAAGCTTTTTGTTGATAACAGATGAAGAAAATAAAGAAAATTTGTTATCACATTATTTCTCGAAATTTTCAAAATTTTAAATATTTTTAAGAAATAATAACAAAAAAAAAAACAGAGTGCAAATAAAGCTGCTATTTGTAGGATAGTCAACTGGCTGCGGTAGACGAAGTTGATGAAGTCGAAGAACTCTCATGGGACAGAGACTTAAGCGAAAACGACTGGTCGGATGCCTATTTGGATGAACCAGCAAATATCAAGCAGAACAACTAGATCTACAGTCATCACTTTTTGACAAATTTTAGCTGTTTTTTGTTAACCAAAAAAAGGCTTGATGCTGGAACAATTGCTTTTTGTTGAGCTGTTTCTATAGCCTATAGACAGGGGATGATAGTTGCTCGATATGAACCGCAAATCATTTTAGCTACAAACACCCGCTGTTTCACTGGGATTGGATTTTCCAGTTTTCGAGGTCAAAAAAAAATGATTTAACCAGCTTAAATGGCTGCTTTCATCAGTGCATTCTCGGGTTTTATCTTATACAGTAACAATCTTTCAGAGTTCTGAAAAAGAGGAAGGAGAATCAATGAGAAAACTAAAAACATTTTCAGTTTTTAGTTGCAACTTTTTTTTTTTATGATTAATAGAAAAGGTTTCACGAGTGAAAAAATTTTTTGACAAATAATTATGCTGTATTATTGTGTTCTTTTAATTTATTCCTATTTCTCTTTTTTTTTCTTCAATTTTTTCTAATCCCTCTGTTTCTTTTTTTTCCCCCACTTTTCTCATAAACATTTTTTGCGAAAACTTACAAAGCTGTATTGAATAGGAATAAAATGCAG